ATGGGCATCCTTGCGCCATGTTATGGCATAGAGTTTTTCCTAAAACTCCATCTTATCCCCTGATAAATATAAAGCTAAACCAATCTAGAACACGGATGTTACATGTGCTTAATCCTTAAACAACTCAAAAATCTAAAGATAAACCTTATCCTTATTCAAATCGGTCAATATTCGTAATCCTAAGGATAACTTCGATCATTACCTTTATTTTGGAGGGTTTTGGATTATTCCAATTAATTAATAATGAATTGATTAATATTTAATCCATATTGTTAATTAAAACTATTTAATTAATTCCAAAATAGTTTCTAATTTGTAACGTCCCAAAAATTACAAAGAGATTTTTGTTTTATAAAGTTGATTGACCAATTAAAACCTTTATCAAAAACCATTGAGTAACATTTGTTTGATTGAAACCATACATTATCAAAGTTAAGTTTACAAAACCGCGGAAACGGATATCTTCGATGCGTATGTATAGTGTCGTTGAGCACTTATCACGAACAATCTGAAAAACATTTAATCCACATCTGTAAGCATAAAGCTTAGTGAGTTCCCCAATATACCATATATTCCACTATACATACAATGCATCCACATACAATCATCGACTCTAGCATTGAGCAAACAAAACTTTATCCACATGCTTATATCGTACGTAACGGGCCTAGCCGAAGAGTTAACGGACCAACCATCTCACAATGGGCCCCACACAAACATACATAATGGTTCTAGCCCAAACTTCCGTAATAGGCCCCATCCTAGGAGTAAACAGGCCCAGCCCAACCTCCACTGCTAGGAGTTACATCCTTGTCCTTCATAGAAATGCGAGAGGCCAGATCTTAGTCTTTCATACAATACGTAAAGTCATATGTAGTCAGGGATCAGGTACACAGTCAAACAATCAGACAAGAGCATTGCAATTAGGCATTAGACCAAGAGTTCTCAACCTATCCAACTTATACTACATAGAACCAAAGTTATCATGACTACATAATCGTGTAACATAAAAACATAACATATATTAGTATATCCATACCCTTAGCAACTAGCCTTCCCTAGTTACCCTGCCATTTACCACATTTCAAATAAGTCCTTCGCTGGTCAATCATATATAATCCTGATAATTCGCCTAACCTAGTTACTCTAACCAACATAACTCCTAACAGTATCATACGATCAACAGGCAAGACCTTACTAGTCTAGCATACCAAGACACCAAATGTCCTAAATTGCACATGCATAACAAGTAGGTATCCTAGCCAACTAGCATACTTGTACTCTAACAGTACCTCTATCCTACCATACAAAGGATATATAACGGTATATGTGGCATAGTGAGAAACTCACCTGAACTAAAGAACCGAAGAAACACATCAACACCCTTACACCTTACACTCCTTAATCCCGCGAACCGAATAACACCAAAAAGAGAAAAATTCTCCATCAACAATCTAAATCCTCCAAGTTTAACCCTATGTCAATCTGGTCAAAAGTCAACAGTCAACGGTCAACAAAAGTAATTGGCCAACAAAGTTAACGCTTACCACGACGTGGAGACCTCTTGGCTATGTCGTAGGAATGTTCAGACAAAACAGTTGACATGCAGGACACCACCACGATGTGGTCCCTCATTGGTCACGTTGTGGGCATTACATGACAAAGTCATGAAGTTGGAATCCACCACGCCATGACAAGTCCTTAGCCACGTCGTGGCTGCTGGAAAATTATACAATTCTTCATTAAGAGCTTAATTCATACATAGCAAGGCTCAAAACTTCAGATCTAATCTTTCTCATTGACTTAATGAATAAAGTTTCCAACTGGACCTTACTCCAAAGCAAGATCTACAACCTAAGTCCAAAAATGACATAAATCCATCACAAAGCATGCATGGATCCAAGGACAAGGTCAAGCTACCAACTTTCCAACAAGAAGAGGTCCAGAAGACAATATGTAGTGCTTAGAAGGGGATAAAATCACCTCAACTCCAAGCATACCACCAAAAAGGGACCAAAGGCATAAAAATGGACCATAAGTTAGATCTGACAAACTAGAAGCAAAGGTTGAAGCTTTATACTCACAATGGTCCATAAATGAAGTTACTTTGCTAGATCTACACTTGAGTTCTTCAACAAAACATTTTGCAAGCAACTTGATCTTCAAGCTCCACACCAAGACATGAGAAATAATCCTTCAAATGGCCAAGAACACCAAGTGCACTTCAAGAACACTCAAAAGGGGATATGGTTTCGAGATAGGAGGGTGGAGGATGAAGAGAATGACCTAACCCTAAAGTTAAAGTCTTTAGATATGGGAGAAACCCTAAAATCATGGGTTTGGACTATAACAGCTGCCACACTGTGGCCAACACCTTGCCACATTATGGCAAACAAGCGAGACGCTTTCTTCAACCCACCGTAGCCATCAACCCACCACGTTGTGGCATATGGTTTTCTCAAAAACCATAATTTTGGTCCGTTTAAGTCTTTAGCTGGTTAATTATGGAAAACAGGTGTTACATAATTAATTTGTTAAATCATAATAAATTAACAAACTTAATTTCTCTTAATTCCTGTTGCTAAAATAGGTCATGAGAGCAACCTAAAAGGATCCTGCTTGATGCGGAGCATGTAGATGATTTGGCAGAAGCCTTTATGGACAAGTGTGAGAAAGAAAAACATGGCCAAAAAAAATACCCAACTTGAAATAGGCATAACTTTTAATTCGTAAGGAATTTTGAGGCGTGAGATATATCGACGAAAAGGTATTGACGAGCCAAAGCTCCTCACAGGTCGACCCCCAAATTCCACTATTTAGGCCACAAAATCTAAGTTTTTCATAATTTTCGAACAATTTTTGTTTTTATTTATTCTGTTTTAGTGACAAAATATATGTTTTGCTTATTTTCTGAAATTTTCTTTCCTATTTAGAAGGTTATTATTAGAATTTATTGACTATTTTAATTTTTCAAATTTGGCCGTACTTACCAAATTTAGCATAACGCTCTATAAAGGGTTCTTGTAAGCCTTTAGAGGCATCTTGAATTTCAGTTATAAAATACTTTGAGTTTCTCTCTATTGTTTGCTTTCGTTTATGTTGCTATTATTAAAAATATTATTAATAGTTAATGACTTTTGACATTCTACCCAACAATTTCTAACAATAGAGATGTATTTAATCACATTGATAGGCAATAGAATCATGAAAACAATGTAATGCAAAAATAAACTTGCTAGAATGATCACAAAATGTTTTTGTAAACAATAATTTGAATAAGTTAATTAACTTCATTTTATAACTTTAATTATTTATAAAAACAAATAAATATCTACAGGAAAAAAAGACGTTTATGTCATTTAGCTTAAAAATATTACATATTCTTTGCAAACCAAACCAAAATTTAAAAACAGGATTTTAATTTCCCTCAAAATTTTACGAACTAAACACAATGTAGCATTTAAATTCATCTAAACCCAAATACATGGAAATGCAAATCCTTTTACACATCCAAAATGCTACAAAATAAATAAATAAATAAATAAAATTAACAATCTAAACGCCCCTTAGTCTTTTAACTAACAACTCCTTTAACTGTTATTTTCACATTTTTATCATTAATGGACATAAAACAACTAGCCATTAACTATATTTACAATTTTAAACCTTCACTAGTAATGGTTTTAACATTTATGGTCCTTAATAAAGTTGGGTTAAACCTCGGTCTATCAATAGGTTTTTGTCTAAATTACTAATTTAGGCCAAAATTTCTTATTTCACAAACATAACATTTTTATTTTATTTAATTATAGATTTATTTCTTAAACTAATAAAATAGATTATAGTTTTATTTTTATTTGTTTATCTTTTTATTTTATTTTCCAAAAAAACAATTCCACTAAAAACGGACTAAAATTGGCATGAAATAAGGATGTTACAAAGATCATTAGATCAACATTTAGATCACACGTTACTGTTTTTGAATAAATGGAATTGAAATATGCATGTGTGGGTGTAATAGGTTTCTCATGGTGGAACCGAGGAGTAGGGTTTCACCACAAGTCAAGTTGCTTTAAATGTTGTCTATTGTAAAGTGATAAAACACGTGAAAACGTGTATATATAGATAATCAACATGTGTTTATACTATTTGTTTTGTAGCACCAAAAGTTGTGGAGTTCATCAATAGAGAGAGGCAAGTCATGGATAATAATGTTGCGGTGCAACTTGTTGCCAGTTTTCCTTTGGTCTTGATGTAGTTTTTGAATAAAACTAATATTTTATATTTAAAATGAAAATCCTTATCTACAATGAATAAGTAATTAAACATAACAAAAGACTCTTGAGCCTATTGGTTTCCAAGACAAGAATGATTTTATTCGATTCACCAACTTTTCTGGGATGAGTTGTTAATAACATAAACGTCATGTGGGCTACTGCATGTCAATGTTGTAGGAGTACTTTAAATTATTTTGTGACACAAATGTGGTCCTCTGGATTCACATTATATTGAGTTATTGATCCAACAGAAAGAAATAACGTACTTATTTATTTCTTTATTTGTTTGAGCATTATAGCATTCTACTTCTATTTTATACTTTTGCGCCATTGCACTTTCAGTTTTTTGTATCGAGACATTGTATACTTAAAAATCTACCCAAGAATAACATTGTACTTTCAATTTATTTTGTTCTTATGGTTGAAGTAAATAACAAAAATATGTAGTCTTTTTGTGCCAATGGTATATAACATTTTCAAAGACTAACTAAAATAGTAAAAATCAATGTAAAACCTTCAATTGGACGTGCTTTTAAGAGCGAGCTAGCGTTCTTTGATTCTGTATAAAGTAATAGTAGAAAATAGGATTTTGAAGGTTACACACAAACTGGACCTTACACATATTAGAAAGACACCAAAGATTCAATATAACGATGAGCATGTTTGCGTCTCGTTTGTCCGATCTTGTCAGATATCTGCTTGAAACTCTTGTCCACAACATTATTACCTTATGACCTTCCCTGGAACTCTGATCACCATAAATGTTTCTTCTTCTTCTTCTTCATGTTCACCCCTAACCACATCAAACACATCAAATATGTAATAACCCAAGCTCAATGGATCAAAATAGCTATTGATCATCTCCGGGTAAGCATCTGGAAGTTCATCAAGGTCAACTCGATACTTAAGAAACCACCCTGAATGATCGTTTAGCATCTCAAACACATTAAGCTGTAAACGGCTCTCCCTGGGATCGACCCTCTCCACCAAATGCAGATGGCCTCGCGACTCCCCAAAGTAGAGTGTCATCTCCCAGTTTTCAAAATCTTCAGATGGCAACGATTGAAATTCTTCTGTGTCGAGCTTAAAGTATGACTTGTCATCGAACTGATACCAGTGGATCGCTTGATTCCAAAAAACTATGTAGTCGATATAGCAATCGGGTAAAGACATATAATCATCTGAAATCTTCCATTTCCCTGTTTCGGAGGAGTAAATTTGAACCTTAATCACATCGTCAGGCTCAGGAAAGTAAAAGCAAACAACCTTGTAGTGAACACAATCTGTTTGATGAAATGCCAAAGCCATAAATATGATGGTTTTACGAACAGCCATGCCTCCGAGAATTGATGGGATGACTGCAAATTGCTTGGTGGTGGGATTAAATACGTAATATTTATGCACACGTTCGTCCTCTTCGTTGCTACGACAAAGCAGCAACCCGTTACAAGATTGCAAGATTCTAATACCATGGGGATCAGGATAGAAGTCGAGATTACGAAAAGGAGGAATGCTTTCGTTCTCATCATCAAATGGAATATACAAACTGCTAGCAAAAAAACCAGGAGAGAAGGAAGCATTTTTATACAGTAGGGTAAATTGCCTGTTACTCAAAAGGGAACGCCAGACTTGGATACAGATTTGAATCGAAGAACAGAGGTTACAGGCAATCGGAGAAGGATTTCAATTAAAAGATCGTCGTTGGAACCGATCAGAGCTCCAGACTCCGTGGCCAGATGATTGTTGTCCGCCATGGCAGCCTTTGAGAACCAGAGGTTTATGGTGTTCTGGATTTTCTTGATTTTGGATCTGGTGTTCACCATTTTTGGACTGGGTTGAAAGACTTGAAGAAAGGGTATTTAAGGTGTGTTTTTAAGTTTTGTCATGGAAGCTGATAGCTTATTAGCTTGCCATGGAAGCTTTGCCTAACGCTTTAATGCTTTGCTAACGTTGACTTGACTAGGAAATGTCCTTGATTGAAAAAAGTATGTGGTTTTCACCGTTCTTTTGAATTCAGGCTATAGTATAATAGTCTTAAATATTAGTCTTAAAGTTCATGGGAAAGAAAAAAACTATTTTTAATAACTTATTTTCGTTTTACTTTTAATATTACAATTAAAAATTGATTATGTGTGGATTTTTTTTTTCTTTGAGTTTTCTCGTAAAAATGTTAGAAATTACAAATTTGGTCTAGGGAGCTTGTTTTTTGTTTGTCCAAAAAAATAATAAACTTGGTAGTCGAGCCTTACATATTGATTTTGAAATAAGCTTTTTATGTGAAATTGTATGAATATAAATATGATTAACTGCGAGTTAAAAGATTATTAAAAAAGACAAATAATGAAATTGGACGAATATAATATGATTTTAAGTTTTTAACGGTATTTTTTTTGTTGATAGAAATTGTACGAATATAAATATGATTTTAACAATCTTGTTTTCTTTTTACTATCAACTTCCACTACAATCTTTAACCATGAAACTATTAGCGGATCATATGTTATATTGTATTAGTTCTATATATTTCCAGATAGCCCATTATGTAAGCCTGTATGTATTGGCCCAAGTGGATTTATACTTATACGTATGTTTAATGTATAATTGAGTTATGGGAAAATCACGGTTTAGCATGGTATGAGAGACTTCTTCTATCAAACCCTAGTCGATCACTTCTATCTTCTTCTTCTTAGTTTTTCTTCTTCCCTCCTGTTTGCTTTTTCTTCTTCCCTCTCTGCAATGCCAGGAGACAGTAGCACATCATCTAAACCTCCTCACAAGGCATACGTAATAACCAACATCAAGACTTACATTCCCTTGATTCTCGATCTCAACAGTCATAACTATGATCCTTGGAGTGACTTCTTTACTGCTCATTGCATTACTTACGACCTCCACGGCCACATCGATGATACTTATGATGCACCAAACAAGCCACCTACCGACACAGAATGGGAACAACTTGACAACCTCGTCAAATTGTGGTTGTTCAACTCGATTTCCTAGAGTCTCATCACCAACGCCTACTCTCCTCTCGCATCTGCCCGTAAAATCTGGTTGAACATATCCTCCATCTTCAATGACAACAAAGAAACCACAACTATGCAATTAGAAAGCGAGCTTCGGTGCATCACCATAGGAGACTTAAGTGTTCATGACTAGTGCAACAAAATCAAGAAACTCACTGATCTTCTTAAAGGTTTAGGTGAAAATTTTAAAGAAAGGCATGTTGTTATTTATGCCTTTAACGAACTGTCCAACAAATTCGAGGGTCTTGCCAACATCATCCACCTATCAAAACCGTTCCCTACTTTTTCCGAAATGCGCTTCATTCTTGCTGCATAAAAAACCAAGCTTGCTAATCCTTGTGTCGTTGCCCCATCTCCTGATGCCAATTCCTCGTCCAATTCCCTCATTCACGTCGCAACCACTCCTTCCAATCGAGGTGGTGGCGGTGGTGGCTCTTCCTACCGATGCAACGACCGGCGTGGTGGCGGTAACAATCGCCGATCTCGAAAACATCCTCATTCCGCCGGAGGTGCAGCTGCTCATGGTCAATATGGTTGGGTTTATATCCCACCGCCTTTTCAGCCTGTGCACCGCCCTTCATCTCAGTGGGGTCCCCCTGTGTCGCCCTATAAACAACTTTTGGACTGGGAACCAATTTCCTCAATCGGCCCAACAATGGAGCAGCCCAACATCTAACACCCAAGGCCTATTTGCTAGCAGACCCTCTTCGGCCCATTCTAGTGTGCAACAGCCCCATTCTTTGAGTCCTCAGGCCCACCATTAGACTTCAAGCTACGATCAGCCCCCGTAGGCATGGCTCGGCAGTGGCGATCAACCCACATCCCTTCCGCATCTATTCAACACAATGTCACTTTTGGGCCTGGGGCAAAACGGATGGGTAATGGACATAGGACCAACCGACCATGTCCACACTAACACAGGTATACTCACTTCCTTCTGTAATAATTTGTATACTCCTCGCTCTATTTATGTCGGTAACGGATCTGCAATACCGGTTGTGACCTCGGAACATTCAAATTTTCCTGTCTCTAATATTTACCGTCCGCTTCACTTACAAAATATTCTCATAACACCCAACATCATTAAAAACCTTATATTTGTTAGAAAATTCATAACTCATAATAATTGCTCTATTGACTTTGATCCTTATGGTTTTACTGTTCTTGATTATCAGACTCGTCGCCCTCTAATCCGTTGTGATAGCTCTGGTGCCCTTTATCCTGTCATAAGCTCCTCCAGTCATGCGTTTGTCGGTACCACTCCCACCACGTGGCATCAACGACTTGGTCACCCTAACGATCAAGATTTGAAGCATTTGTCATCCAATAGTTCAACTTCTTGTCGTTTATCACAAAATAATGTTACTTGTCAAACCTGTCACCCACCTAAATCTTCACACTACTTCCATTTCCTCTGTCCCACGGTCACATCTCCAGGCCTTGAAAGATCCAAACTGGCATAAATCCATGCACGAGGAATATAATGCTCTTATTACAAATGGTGCTTGGGTCCTTGTACCACGACCGCTGGGGGTCAACGTAGTTCGCTCTATGTGGCTTTTTAAACAGAAATTTAATGTTGACGGATCTCTTTCTCGATATAAAGCTTGCCTGGTGGCAAATGGGCGTAGTCAGCAGTAGGGGATCGATTGCGATGAGACGTTTAGCCCGGTTGACAAACTGGCCACTATACGCACAGTACTCAGTGTGGCTATTACACGGGACTAGCCCGTTTATCAGCTAGACATGAAAAATGCATTTCTTCATGGTCATCTTCAGGAGACCATTTACATGCATCAACCGCTCGGTTTTCGTGATCCTCGACACCCGGACCATGTTTGTCATCTTTAGAGATCTCTATATGGTCTAAAGCAGGCACCTCGAGCCTGGTACCAGCGGTTCGCTCAACATGCTCTTCGTATGAGATTTCACCACAGCCTCACCGATTCGTCTCTATTCATCTATCATCATGGAGGCGACACTGCCTACTTGTTATTCTATGTGGATGATATTGTATTGACGACCTCCTCTACTTCTCTCCTCCAGCCTATCATTACTCAACTTAGCAGAGAGTTCGCCATGACAGATCTTGGGGCCCTTATGTACTTTCTCGGCATTTCTGCTACTCGCTCTCCTCAAGGTCTCTTTCTGTCTCAGCAGAAATATGCTTCTGAGATTCTTGGGAGAGCCAATATGCTTCAGTTTAATCCAGCTCGTACCCCTGTAGAGACCACTCATAAGCTGGACAATACCGGTACTCCTGTTGCGGATCCATCATTATATTGCAGTCTTACCGGTGCTCTTCAATATGTCATGTTTACTCGCCCGGACATCGCATTTGCAGTTCAGCAGATATGTTTATTCATGCATGATCCCCGAAGCCTCATATGAATGCACTCAAGCGTATACTGCGCTATGTTCGAGGGACTCTGGACCACAACCTGCGACATCATGTTTCCCCGTCTTCTGATCTTCGTGCATATTCAGACGCCGACTGGGGCAGATGTCCCGTCTCTAGCTGTTCGACCTCTGGGTATTGTGTTTTTCTCGGTGATAATCTTATTTCCTGGTCTTCTAAAAGACAAGGGGTCATCTCTCGATCCAGTGCATAGGCGGAGTATCGCAGCGTTGCCAATGCTGTCGCCGAGACTTGTTGGGTTCGTAATTTACTTTGTGAGCTTCAATGTCCTCTTACCAAAGCAACTATTGTTTATTGTGACAATATTAGCTCTGCTTACATGACATCGAACCCAGTTCAGCACTAACGCACGAAGCACATCGAGATTGATATTCATTTTGTTCGTGGCCTGGTTGCCCGGGGTGATGTTCGTGTCTTTCACGTTCCATCTTCCGCTCAGTTTGCCGACATCTTCACCAAAGGACTTCCTACTAAACTATTCAACAATTTTAAAGCCAGTTGAACCATTCAGAATTCTCCTCCTGATAAAACTGCGGGGGGCTGCTAGCGGATCACATGTTATATTGTATTAGTTCTATATATTTCTAGATAGCCCATTATGTAAGCCTTGTATGTATTGGCCCAAGTGGCTTTGTATTTATATGCATGCTTAATGTATAATTGAGTTATGGGAAAATCACGGTTTACCAGAAATCACACCTTAAATACACCTCTTCTTCAACGCCTTCACCCCACTCCAAAAACAGTGAACACTATATCCAAAATCAAAAAACCCCCCAAAACACTAAGAACAATCGGTCTGCAGCTTTTGACAGGCTCAAACGATGATTTTGTGATTGAAATCCTTCACCAACTTCCTATTACCTTTGTTCTTAGATTCAAATTTGTATCCAAATATTGACGTTCCCTTTTGAGTCACCCATGTTTCACCCTCCTATATAAAAAATTTCCAATTTCTCCTCGCTTTGTTTACAATATGTATATTCAGTTTGATGGTGAGAACCCCACCCCCCCGAGTTGTAATCCCAATTTCTATCGTGATCCTTGCGGCACTAAAACTCTACAATCTTGTAAATTGTAATGGATTACTGTTTTGTTGTAGCAAAACGAGGGACCAACATGATCGTAAGTATTATGTATTCAACCTCGCCACCAGGAAATTTCTAATCATAACATTGGTTCCTAGAGGCAAGGATGTTCTTAAAAATGTCCATTTTATGGGTCAGGCCTTTCATCAAACAGATTATGTCCACTACAAAGTTGTGTGTTCATCTTGTTAAGCCAAAGGAGGACCAATTTCAGACTCAAATTGATACGATTGCAAAAGGCAACGTTTTTAGTTCCAAATCGAGTAGTAGTTGCGACTAGTTGCAATTGGATGCGAACGATCGCAATGAATTGCAGTGTCTTGTTATCAGATGCGAAAAGAGTATTAAGTGTAAATGGGTTGTTGGATGCGAACAGAGTGATGAGTATGAATGGGTATTGGATCTGAAATGGCTGATGAATGTGAAAGGACTGATGGATGCGATAAGAATGATGGTTTCGATTGGATGCGACTGGATGCGATCAATCACAATCCATCGCAGTCTACTAGAATGGCTAATGTGAACTACTTCGGAACAAGGTTGGGTGTGAATGCGATTGTGATTCCAATTGATTGTGACTGGTTGCAATTGGTTCTAATATGTCGGAACTTATCGGAGTCTTGTGGTATTTTGGTATGACTGGATGCGAAACTTGGAGTGGTTACTCGATTTGATTCTCAAACTTGGATGTTATTCTCACAATGGTCTTATTACATTGCTAGCTTGGGAACCCATTAGGCTCTCATTAGTTCCGATGGGTTGGTGCTTACATGTTGGTTCCAATGGGCTGGTGCAAGTTGTTGGGTGTGAAAGCTACTTGGGATCAATGGTACAATGGCTTTGCATGGTTAATTCCGTGGGAATATTCTAGAGATGCTTTTAAGTTATTTTTAGCCTTTATTTAATAATTTCCATTTATTAATAGGTTCTTTTATTTTATTACTTTCCTTTTATTTTGTAATCATTGTAAGACTATAAATAGCTACCAATGTTGAACCTTTGAATTATTGAGAGTGGAATGAATTGAATTTTGAAGAACGTTGTTCGTTTGAGTTGCATACTCGCCCCTTTGTCAATTCTAGGACGTGTATTCTAGGTTGATGTGAATTAAAATCAATAGTTCTTGATTTGTTTTCATTGATACCTAATCTATATGTCTAGATTGTTTATCATAGCTATCTATTCTTGTTTTCTTGTCGAGAAAGTTATTCATCGTTCTTGTTTCTTATCATTATTCTTATTTTCCGTTGTGTTCATAACCCCCCCTGTTCGCATCTTATGTGGTATCGGAGCACAGTTCTGATCGACAAGTTCATTTGATTTCATTTGTTGTCAATTTTGTTGAATATGATCATTGTTTAAAAAAAAAAATATTAGAACTCAGTTTCGATTTGCAGTTGCGATTTGTGTTGTTGTTGTGATTCAACAAGTTCGTTTTTCAGACTATTACTGTTGATTATGGTTGAAATCGCATCAGGAGTCATGAAGGTGAACGATCCAAATTTTGTGAATTCCTTGCGTGAAGTTTTGCGTGGGTTGCAAGAAGAAGGAAGGCGGCAACAACCAAGGAAGGTTGGAGGCGTCAATGTAAACGATTTGCCTAAGTTCGTTAGAGGATTTGATCTAGAAGAGTATTTGGATTGGGAAGAGAATATAAAAAAATTAAGTTCAAAGGGTTAGATGATAAGATGAGCTGCAAGAATGTGATTTTAAGGCTGAAGGGAGAAGTGGTGATTTGGTATGAAGGACTGAAGGCTAAAAGAAGTCGTGAAGAGAAGAAGAAAATCTCATCTTGGGAATCCTTGAAACGCAAACTCAGAAGAAGGTATGTTCCAGTGAATCACCCAATCACGATTATTCCTAAATTTTCTAAATCTTGGAAAAGAAAATTGGATGTGATTGTGAGAGACCGTTGTGATTGAAGAACCTACCGTTGTGCAAGAATCTTCTGTTGTGACCGTTAAATATTTTCATTCTATATACGACACCGAGGATGAAGATGAGATGTGGGAAAAAAAAATTAAGGAATAGAATTCTAATGAAGAAATTGTTGGATTAGGTTTCTAAGCCCATAACTATAACTGGTATATACTTGAATTGATGGTAGCACGGTCCTTTTGGGTTGCCCTCAAACCTAGCAATTGGAAAGGATTATTTTGGAGAGAGAGGTTGATTTATTATTTGAATAATAATTTGAAATAAATGATTTGTTAATATATTATGGAAATAATATATTAATTAGAAATAGTAATATTTAATTAATATTTAATTAATATTTAATCAGAAATTAATTGGAATTAATTTAGTGATTAAAAGAATTAATTAAAAGTGCAGGGACTGAAGTGAAATTGTTTAATATGTGATTAAGAGGCATTCTAGAACCCTCCATGAGGCTTGGACGGTTTTAGGAGCCTTAGGGTTTCAACAATTATCCCTGGTGGATAACTAGGAAGCTGGATAATTACTCAGTTCAAGATAATATTATTATATTGGGTTTGGGCTTATCTAGGGTTTCTTGTCTGCACTATAAATAGGCCCATAGGGCTATGGATTTTCACACTCATATTTTCATTAGAAAAGTTTTATAGTATGTTGCCTATACGTGAAAGACATTGATCCTTAATAGGTTGCATGTGCCCTAATCATTTGAATTGTTTGAATGTTCTCCGCTTAGCGCATAGAACTACGTTTACCATCAGAAATTGACGATATTGTTGAGGACTCTACCCCTATCTACGACACTGACGAGGAAGGATAATTTGTTGAAAGGATTAATTTCGTGGATAGAAACGAAATTATTGAAATGATTGTGGAAGAAAACAATTATGTTAATACGAACAAAATTGTTGAAAAGGTTGAAGAATCTTAAGATGTGGTTGTGGGTCAGAAGGATACGAAAGTGGAGCAGATGGTACGAGAAGAAGACACAAAGGCAAATTTGCCAAAGGAGTGTCAAGGTGCGACTTTTTCTGACAAGGTTGCATGTCATTATGATCCGAAGGAGGCCAAGGAATTGCGAATCAGGTCATTGAATCCTTGGAGATGGGATGTGATCACGAAAGTTCTAGTCAATATGATGTTCCAAGTCCCAAGTATTCGCGTGTGAAGGAGTTTATGATGTTCGGACGTATATTCTTTTGGTGTGTTTTGAATGGGGAGCCCTTAATGATGGGACGTACTAATCATCAATTTACAAATACAAACCATGATACATTATTTCAAATGCCTACTATTAATCCTTTAAATTATTACGAGATTATTTTGCACGGTCCTAATGGTAGTGTAAGAAAGTGGTTTTTGATCCACAAATGGAAGTCACGATCAGAAAGCTCTTTAAGTTGTTTGAAAAAGGGTGATGATTTTGAAAGAAGATACCAACATAGAAGGATTGTATTGAAGGTTTGTATGGAAAACAACATGTTGATCCCTCGGAATTGAGGACAATTTCTTTCAAAGGTGGAGGGGATGATACGATTGCAAAAGGCAGCCTTTTAGTTCCAAACCGAGTAGTTGTTGCAACTGGTTGAAAATGGATGCGAACGGTCGCAATGAGTTGCAGTGTCTTGTTATCGGATGCGAAACGATTATTGAGTGCAAATGGTTGGTTAGATGCGAACAGGCTGATGAGTGTTAATGGCGTATTAGATCTGAAATGGCTGATGAATGCGAAAGGACTGATGGATGCGAGGAGAATGATGGTTGCGATTGGATGCGATCGATCACAATCCATCACAGTCTACTAGAATAGCTAATGCGAACGACTTCAAAACAAGGTTGGGTGTGAATTCCATTGCGATTTCAATTGATTGCGACTAGTTGTGATTGGTTCCGATATGTCAGAACACATCAGAGTCTTGTGTTATTTCGATACGAATAGATGTGAAACTCGGAGTGGTTACTCGGTGCGATTCTTGGACTTGGATTTGATTCTCGCAATAGGTCCAATTGTGATGCGAACTTCGGAACCCATTGGGCTCTCATTGGTTCCGATGGTTTTGTGCTGATATGTTGGTTCCAATGAGCTGGTGCAAGTTGTTGGGTGTGAAAGCTACTTAGGATCAATGATAGGATGGCTTTGCATGGTTAATTGCGTGGGAAGATTCTAGAGACGTTTTTCAGTTATCTTTAGCATTTATTTAATAGTTTCCTTTTTATTATAGCTCCCAATGTCAAACCTTTTGAATTATTGAGAGTGAAATGAATTGAATTTTGAAGAACGTTGTTCTTTTAAGTTGCGTACTCGCCCCTTTGTCAATTCTAGGACGCGTATTCTAGGTTGGTTCGAATTCAAATTAATAGGTCTTGATTTGTTTTCATCGACGCTCAATCTATAGGTCTAGATTGTTTGTATAAGCTATCTTTTCTGTAGGGGTGTGTATGGGGCGGTTTGGTTCGGTTATTGGTCAAAACCGAACCATAACCATTACAATTGGTTAATGTATTTCAATAACCATTGGGTAACGGTTAATATTGGTTTTGGATAACGGTTTTAGTCGGTTATTGGTTATGGTTAACGGTTAATATCGGTTAACCATAATGGTCCAAAATGACATAAAAATAAAAATATTTTTCTATAAAAATTGAAAAACATAAATCCATTGTTATAAAAAATGAATGATTGTGTATATATAACTATATTGATAGAAGATTACTTATCATATCTAATTCCAAGTAATTTCCCTTTAAAATTTCAATTCTCAATATATTACATACATTATACTCCCTCCTTCCTATATTTATTGTTTACTTTTGACTTTTAAAACACAATCCATTCATATATTCTGCCTCAAGTATTATATATAAAAAACAAAAATATTTAAGGTCAAAGTTGAGAAATAAATACACCAAAATTCAAAAGTGGATAATAAATATGGAATGAGGGAGTATTTAATATTATATTATATTAAAAATAATTATTAATATTATTGGTTCGGTTCGGTTAATAGTGGTTCGGTTTTGGATGAAAACCATAACCGAACCATATGTATTCGGTTAATCAAAATTAGAAACCGCACCATATCTTTTAGTAATGGTTCGGTTGAAATGGTTCGGTTATATTGGTTAATTTGGTTATGGTTTGGTTTTTCGGTTAATATGCTCACCCCTACTTTTCTGGTTTTCTTGTCGAGCAAGTTATTCATTGTTTTTGTTTTCTTATCGTTATTCTTATTTTCTGATGCGTTCATAATAATCCAAAAAGAACCCCCCTTGGTATTCGCATCACAAATCTATTCGTCTGAGACACAAAAATGGAAGATTTTAGATGAATCTATTTCCGCGCCGCATAATACGTACTTCAGCTATGGTGTTTATTGGAATCAAGCAATTCACTGGGCTCCTAACACCTTTAAGTTATGTTGCTTTAAGCTTGACACGGAAGAGTTAGCATCATTGCCATTGACAGTGACGGCTGCATTTTTAGAGGTTATCAATACGGACTTATACCTATTTACTTTAGGGAATCACAAAGCCATCTGTATTTGGTGGATACGCCTGATTGCAGTCGGAATCATATGCAACTGAATGTGTACGAGATGGACGATCATTCTAGGTGACTTGTTAAGTATAAAGTGGAGCTTGATGAGTTACTCAGAGATGATCCGTAGAAAACCAGATCCTTCCATCACAATTTATTACGATTTCAGTTGTTAGATATGGTTAGGGTGAAGAAGAAGATGAAGCGTGATCAGAATTCCAAGGAATCAGATTATAAGGTACAATATTGCCTACAAGAGTTTCAAGCAAATATTAATATGAGTCCCTTTATCGATGGACCAATGGGGCACGAGGAAGTTCACCCTTATGTTGAAACCATAGTTTCTTTGTAAAAACTCCAATATGTGTAAAATTTTGAAATTTAGCTCGACGAGAAAGTAAACAAATGTCATACATAACATAAGCAAGCAGGCCGTAAATGAACCAAACGTCAACAAATTGTTTGCGAAACTATGGCAGGAAGTTTGTTTATGTTCATTTATTTAATAAATGAACGAACATAAACAAAAATTCTAGTTCTTTTAGTTAAATGAACGAACATGAACATTGGTCTCATTTGTTCAATTATGTTTATGAATGTTCTTATGTTGTTTATTTACGATCGTTTATGTAAGTTAATTTTATGTTTATACATGTTAAATTGTGTGTGATCACATGACTATATTATATGTTTGTTTATGTTCATATATATTCAATTATGTTTGTTTATCTCCCTTCGTTTTTGTTCGTTCGTTTAGTTTTAGCATGTTCACGAACATAAACAAACATGAACAATGTAATTTGTTAAACAAACGGACATGAACAAGAAAACTTGTTCGTTTAATCTCCTGATTCTTTTTTGTTCATGATGTATAGATCATGTTCATGGATTAACGAAAGTCTTGTGTGTGTTTATAAAAGGTTTCTTAAACTTTTAGGGATAGACACCGATCATAAGGTCTTAGAAGACCCATAAAGCAATTGTTCATAACATGATCTATTTTATAGGCCTACATGGCTATTTAGTATTAATTTTTTTGTAAAAAGAATATAGTAAAACTTTTATTTCACTTATATAAAGAATATAGTAAAAAATTTATTTTATTTATATAAAGTGATAAAACCATTCATATATCCTATACACGTGTATCTAGATGACATATATTTTGTATGGACTCATTTGGTACTTTTGATTCTTATTCGAACCGGATGATGACAAAATATCATGCTTGTCAGCTTGTTCCTTTAGTAAAGGGATCTTTTTTATCAATAATCATTTTATTATCTATATATAGCAATAGATGTACATCTCGACGACTCATGAAACCACTTCATATTCTCATGCTTCGATAAGATGATATACTTGTTTTATTGCTTTGGTGTTTCTTTCGTTGTGCTAAACATTACTAACATACCTTTATACATCCTAATTGTTGTCAGATAGTAA